CTCGCGGGGAAGCTCTTGGGGCTCCGGGAAGAGCAGCTCCCCTTCGCCGGGCTCGAAGGCGGATTCCTGCGCTGAGCAGCGACCGGGACCGGGGGCCCTCCGGCTCCCTCCGGTGGGTTCCCCCGGGCTGATTAACTGAGCCTGGACTCCCGCCCGGTGTGCCTTTCCTCGGGGTCCCCACCCCTCCAGAGCACCACCTCCTGTCCCTCTCCCCGCGGGGGGGATCCTCCGTGGCGCTGCCTTGGGTCTGTCGCTCTGCTTTCCTGAACCCGAGGCCACGCTGGATTCCGCTTTGCTTTCGTTCAACCCAGGAAGCCCGCGCGATAGATGACTTTTTCCCCAGTGTCCCTGCTGCTTCCACTTCAGCTAAACCGGAATAGCCAGAATAATCAAGCCAACAGGAACAGATCCTTGGCCCTTCTCCACAGAATCCGAATGGTGGAGTTTAAGGGAGCGCATGGATCACGCAAGGCGCAGAAGAACCCACCGCGCCATCCTCAAGACCAGCCGCCAAGATGGAGAAGCCACAACTTCCATAAGGAGACTGTCCCTCCTGAAGAGCCCTGGGCTCCCTGGGCTTCCTTGCAGGAAGGTGCTGTGCCCGTTTCTCAGGTGACACAATCGTACGCAGACTGCTTGGAGGAGGGAGCCCTCCGAGTGCCGCCCCGATTCCAGGGCCCTGGGGCCCGCCACCAAGGAACACTGGAGGGAGATGGGTACTGTCTGGCTGTTTATTGTGGGCACCTCCAGGTGCAAACTTTGCCCCCGTGAACCGCTCCCCACTCCCAGTGCAGTGGCCCACTGCCCTCCCATTTCTGCTCTGGCAGACGCCAGCCTGGCCTGCCCAGGAAGTCTCCTGCTCACGCCCTCCTCCCCACAGAAAACAGGCCGTCCTGCCCCAGAGCGGTGATGGGGTGACGCGGGGAACCTCCCCTCCAGGTCCACTCAGGGCATCTTCGACCACCGACAGGTGATGAGGAACTCAGGGTAAGCCTGTGTGTCGTTGAAGATGACGAAGATGGAGGGGCTGCTAAGGCTGTCCACCGTGCTGTCGTACCGCCGGAGGGCAGAGTCCTCCTCCCGCAGAGGGGGGGCCCGCAGGCCCGGGCTGCCTGTGGTGTAGTCCCCGACCAGTGTCCGGGTCACAAAGATGTATTTGTCGCCGTCGGGGTTGCAGGGCGAGTACCGGTCCTGCGCTGAGAGGGATGCCTTCGCCGCAAAGTAGACCCCGTGGCCATAGTGCGTGGCTGGCAAAAGGGGGGGGAGAGGGGGGGTTGTTCAGTCAGTGACCAGCACGGAGCAAGGTAAAATACAGCGTACGCGCTAAAGCGTCCGGACAGATATGAATACAGCGAATAATCTGTAACAAATGTAGGGACGCGTAGAGATTATGAAACGGATCTCTAAAATCTATTAAGGTATGAGAAATAAAAAAAAGAAAGGCTCAGGCATCATGGCGTATTAAAACTAATGTCTACACAAAATATAGCATGCCAGGTCCAGCACTGAATACCGCAGTATCTCATGCGCATAAGATACGGGGCCTGATTCTGTACTCTGGCAGACAAACAGGCAGTTACCCCTTTCTGAGCGTTCAGGGAGACCAAGTTATTCTCTCAGACGATCGATGCCAGACCCAAAGCGAGTCCCGGTGCCCTGGCACTTAGCTAATGGCGCTCTTAAGCAGCACGCGCGGATACCCCCCGAAAGGCCGCTACACAAGAAAGCAACCTCAGCGCTACCCGCTCACGGTCTTCTCTGTCTCGGAGGACCGGCTGGGCAGAAACCAGCGCCAGGCGCCTCAGCAGAGCCTCCTGCCTTTCACTACCGTGCCCAGCCTTAGGCCGGCCTTGGCACCCTCGGGGCCCTAGGCTGGCAGAGGCGCCTGCAAGCAATGCTAGTCATTCAGCTTCCACAGCTCTTCCACTTGCCAACGTATTTCTCAGAAGAGCCCAGAGAGGCCAGTCCGATGGGGAGAAAGACGGGGGGCTGGCAGCGCCATCCACCAAGGCAGGGAGCCCCTCACAAGGCATGGGCTGCTTGGCAACCCAGCGGCACTCCTCATCCGGGCAGCCTCTTCTGGGCTGCACAGTGCCCAGTACCTCTTTCCACCCAAGAACCTGCTCTGCAGGGCCTGGGAGTATCTCCCAGGTGGCCCCCCAGGACCCCCCATCCAGCTTCTCCGGCAGCTGCTGGTTCCCCTTCCGACACCGGACCAAGGGCGTGAAAACGGCTGCCGCAGCAGCTCCCACTTCCAGCTTGGCTTCCCTGCGGGGGGGAGAGTGTGCGCTCCTTGAACGCAGAGGGGCACACACCCAGTGCTGGACAGCCAGCCAACACCCCACGTGGAGGACTCGCCGTTGAGCGCGCAATGAGGGTGCTGGGGTGCTTTCTGCGCAGCCCTCTCAGCCAGCAGGCTCACCGTTCTTGCCGCAAAAACTGCGGTTGAAGCCATGCTGGCAGATCTCGTGGCTGGACCGCTCTGTTGTGCCGTGGTACAGGATCCGCTCCACTGCCTGATGTCCACAGGCCTTCTCCATGGCAGCCTTCTTCAGCTGGTACTGCTGGTAGAGCAGGGGGTGCATCACCTTCTCCAACTGCCGGGCCAAAAAGGGGACGACTCAAGCCCCACGTACAGCTCGTTTCCCTCCCTGCCCGCTTGCTCTGCTGGGGCTCAGTCAGCCAGGGGCTAGGGCTGGGCCACCCCTTGGTGGCCAATGCAGGCTGCCCCCAGGGGCATCCCCTTTCTCGTCCAGAACCTCGACCCTAAGGGACCCCAGCCACTGTGTTTGAACCAACCCCAAAACAGGGAGCTATGAGGGTCAGGGGACAGATTCCCTCCCTTGCCCAATTCAGCTCTTAGGGAAGAGAGCACACGACAACGATGGAAGAACCAGGCTGGTCCAGGTTTTGGAGAGCCTGCATGAGTCCTCTGGGCCAACCCCCTCCAAATCATTTCCCTTTCCAAGGACTGGGGTGG